TCTAAGTTTCCCAAACTTTAAATTAATGTGGAAATTGACCTTTGGATTTGATCTGAATGACCAAAAAGATGAAATGTGTTATGGAATGGCTTACACAAACGCTCAGACTGCAATGTTGTGAGCAGTGTATGCAAGGAACGCTTCAAACATTTAATTATCAGCACTATCAAAGTTTTATCAGTTGAATGTTAAAGAACCCCTTTACCAGAAAACACCTTGCAGGCAATAACACCTGCAAGGCGTTTTCTGGTAAAGGGGCTGAGGCCAGGGGGTCTGCTTTCTTTTTTCATAAAAAATGTTAATATTTTGTTCAACTTCCAAAAGCTCATGTTTTCTATATGCTGTTCAAGTATATCACCTCATCAGTGAGCCCTGTTTCAAAGAAAAACTATTTCAAACAAATAAAAAAAAGCCAACATTTTGTAATGATTTTTTAAATACACATGCTGCAACTCTGCACAGATTTCATTAGTGACCATGTACACAGTTTGTTAGAGGGGCCAAGGACAGCGAACATAACTCATATAACCTTTGGATATAAACTCAAAATCCCTTCCAGCAATGTACATCTCATACAGGGACACATGCCACTGAAAGAAATGTCCTTGTACTCACTTGAAATGTATAAAACATGGCTCTCTGTACGGCTTTCAGGGAAAAAAATAGCAAGTACGAGTTACAAGTTAGTTAATTCCTGTCTGAATGAACAATTTATTGTAGTCAGATTTCAAAGTGTAACTACAGCAGAGGGATGATAAATTACAGAAAAAACTGAATCCTTGACTCTTGAGCTAATTTAGTAGCACTGCTGTGCTTTAAGAAGCAATTTGCTGGCGTGGTTTGGCCCAACTTCCAATAACCCTCCCCTAGGAGGGAATAGTTTTTGCAAATCAACACATCTCTTTCCTTACTGGGTGTGTTTTTTTTGTTTTTAAATGTAAAACTGTGCGGTTTAATGAGCATGAAAATGTTCTATCACATTAATCAATACTTACACTGTATACCTATGTAAATTAAAACCACAAGCCTTAAATTGTATCTCCACCATTACAAAAAAATTGGACAGAATTGTAAGACTTGTAAAAACATGCTGAATCACTTTACTCATCTAGTGGTGCGGCACCTTACTAAGAGACTGCGTTGCTGGCTTTTACTTCAATTTGTGCCCAATTGTTGAGTTATTAGCAAGAAAATGAAAACACACTCCTATTGTGTCGACATGAGACCAAGGAGTCCAACAGGAGCCTTTATATGGTAAGGTAACGAACCTCTTTTGATCAATCACTTGGCAATGGTGGGAAGGAAAAACTCCCCACTTCATGAAACCTCCTGCTCTTTCCTGAGCAGCCATCAGCCATGACCGGTTGGAAGTGATGGGAGGAAGACAAGATACTGTAGTTCCTCAAGCCTGGTGATAAGTGGAACTCACCACTGATTAATAGAGGATATATCTTTTCTGAGGTCTAGGTCATATCTAGAATTGGGTGGAGCAAGTTATTCAACTATAAGGGGGCGGGGCTTTTAATTTAGCGCTTACCTCGTCTTAGCAGATGACCTTGATGTGAAACAAATTCTTTCCTCCTTCTGTTCAAAAAGACCTTGCAACGGAAAATGACTGAACCTACATCTTGGCCTTCTGTGACAAGAGAATATCAAAAGTCATGATCAGCTTTGTTAAAACACGCAGGTTGGAATTGGATGAGAGGGACTGGATTATTGTGTTAAGCACACAAGTGTTCAGTTCTTTTTTAAATAAACTGTAATGCAGTTAGAGTTTGGTTATGTATAAATGGGTCACACGATTAATCCTGTATAAAATGTATTTTGTGTTGAAGAAATAAAGTTTAACGAAAAGGTTTGGAAACACTTTGGAATTACAAATATTTTCAGCACTGATCATTAATGAGCCATAAAATGTGGTCTGATGTTTGTCCAAGTCACAATTATAGACTAACACAAATTTGCCTATACTAATGACACACAAACATTTGTACTTCATAATTATTAGCAGCCCAAGCTGGAAAAATTCAGTGCCCTCGGCTACAATTAAGGCGTAAAAATTCAAATTACTGTCAGTCTGGCCTTTTAGAGGAAAAACTGTTTGTGTAAATCATGGCTCAGTCATAAAATACTGACACAGGGCAAACAAAAGACAAAGAAACACTGACAGTTTCATGCATCTCTGTGAACAGTTTCAGATGAATGGCTAAAGCTCCTCTGTATGGAACTTGCATGTTCACCCTGTGCAACACAACAGCTCTGACACTGAACCTTTTTATGCATGAATGCCTAACACTGTTCGAGTTGCAAAGGTCATATTAGAGGAAGCATTAGGTTTGAACTCTGCAAATGTTGGAGAAACACTGACCCGAAACTGCATTAGGGTAACTGCAAAGGATTTCCATTCATATGGAAAATAGGTGAAAACATTCTAAGAAATTGCACATAATGACACCAGGTGTTCGCGTCTTGCTAGAAAAGTCTTAACCCATCATTTCTCATTAAGGGAAATCATTAAACATTAAGTGGAAAAACAGGAGAAGCAAAATTAATTCAGAATCAACTCACGAATACATGCCAGTTAGACAGGTGGGAATTGGAGTCCAACATCGTATAACAATGTGGGCAACAGCCCAACTCGGCACTGATAACAACTCAATTAGCACACTGGCTGCTTTTATTTCTGCACTGATTACATGCCTCATCAAGGATCAAAAACATATGCCCATGCATCTGAACCGTAATGTTCTGAGAGAAGGCTTTTAAAAAAGATAGGAAGAAAGGAAAAAATAACATAAAACGTCTAACAAAAATATAAATATACATACAGGGTAAGGTTCAAAGTTGCTCAAGATCTAAATAACAAATAAAAAAATGCAAATGTAAATGAATCATGATATGAAATCTTTCAATCACTTTAATTCGTCACTACATCATTATCAGACTAAATGATCATTTGAAATGATGGTTGTGTTAAAAGGCACTGCATGGATAAGCAGTATTTACATCCGTTTATTACTTTCAATGAACTTTTGTAGTGTCATGTAATCAGCATCAAGAAGATGTTAAACAATGTTCAAACACAACCTGACATTACCTTTTACATTTGGGGTATGCATGAGAAAACACTTACTGTGCATTAATATCATGCTTTACCTTTGCCATCTTTAATGACAGCACATCACACCATCTGCAGGAATGCAAATCAATATATTTTTAAATGCACTGCTTTGGAGCTTGATTGCTACTAACTACTAGCAACACTGGAATTATCTGCCTCACATTTCTACCTTTGTCTTTATAGGACTCTGCCATCTCAGGTATTGCTGTAGTTAGTCTCCCACAGTTATGGTCCCACACCTGAGCAGCGTCATGATTTTTGTTTTGCACTGGTGTGAGACTTAAACTGGAGTGGACAGGACTGGCAGTATCCTCTTTGTTCATCCTGTTATGGTGAAGTTTTTGATCCATCATGCTAAAGCTTCCTCTACAGATGATGGTTACATATCAGATTGCTTCATGGTCAATAGCTTCTTTTACAACTACCAGTTTGGCATGTACAAAACTGCATTTGAAATAAAACTTATATAAGTATTTATATCATGAATACTATACTATTTATATCAGAGCTACACTGCTCAGATTTCTTAAACTTTGTATGGTAAAATCAATGCTACAGGGCCTTGTAATTTTCTAAAACACCGAAGGCATGTATTTGATATGCAACATTTGCAGTACATAATGCATCCTACTCTATGAACCCTGGGTTATTGCTCTTTGGTACACCACTACCTTCCCACCTACACATACAAAGGCTATAGTACACCCCAAGTTCATTTGAAGAGAGCTAAATATAAGCATATATTTCAGAGTAGGAGGAAAGTCATGGCAATATAACAATGCTGAGAAGAACTGGCAGGTTTATCATCAATGAATAGATGATAGGCTCCCACGCACAGTAAGAAAAATGGGAACAATGCAAATCTGAAATTAACTACAGTGTCATTATACACATCATTTATATTTCTGTCATTAGTCCCTACATTCTACTATATGTCCGATAACACTTTTTAACTTTTAACCTACAAATTCACAAAACTGGCCCTTTCATATCATGAGGAGACGTACATAAGGAATACCACGAATCACAGGAACTCTCAATCATTATTATTTATAGATTTTTCATAAGATTCACAATCAAAAAGTCCTGTTTTTCAGAAATATCTATTTCCGGTAGCAGATTTCTATATGGGTTGTGCAGGAGGACACAACACACGGGTCAGCTGGGGAATGTGTTTTCATAAATATTTCTATGAATAATACAATAGGCTGAGCAGTTCTCAAAGATGAAACTTGGAGGCAAAAACAGATCAATATCTGATTAAGCCACCCAGGATGCTGCATTGTTACCATCACCACAACCCACCTACAGTAAACAAACCTCTTACGGCAGGGAAATTACCAAGTATGGTGAAAACATTTGGCAGCTGATTATGCAATGACTCGCTTGATCAGCACCTCCTTGCTTGTTAGTTGGGCATGAAATACACTTTTTTTTAAAAAACAGAGGTTAGCATTCAGTTGAGTGTTTGCTCACTGATTCAATACCAGTGTCAGAGTTATTTTAAAGGGTAAAAATCATTCAAAAACAATGATTCTCATCAGGCACACAGCAAAATGTGTTAAAATAGGGAAAATTATTATTTAGTGTTCTAGTGTGTGTTTATATGTGCTGTAAAACCAGCTGATCTGCGTCAGATGCTTTGAGTCACAACTGATATATTTCGTTGGACATCCTCTTTGACCTCACGTCAGCAGAGCGCCCAACAGATGCTGTGTACGAGGAATAAGCATGCATTTTCATACACACCAGGTGTTGTTTGTCATCATACGTAATTAGATTCAGACTGGCTTACAGCACAGCATGATAGCAGCGAGTCTGGCGCTGTAGAGCCAGTGGATTTTGAAAAGGTTTTTGGGTTGGTTTTTTTTCGTCTTACCCCCTAGCAGTTTGGACTGACAGTTGACAAACTCTGGCTTCCGTGCTGAGCTGTAACGCTGGCAGGTGTGATGGAGAATCTGGATAAAGGTGCACTTCTCCCCTGATGAACCAGCAACCCACTGATCGAAAGCGGTATCGAACATCAGGTCAAACTCCGGACAGTCCTTGGAACAGCAGTGAAAGGGAGACACCAATAAGAAGTGAGAGTGTGTAGTAAGGGAAAAGGAACAAGAAGTAACTATAAGAAAATTGAGAACGGAGTACATAGCAACATGCTTTGAATTAGCAATACTTGTGTTCACTGGGAAAGGAGAAGGGAAATTACATACTTTGTTGGGGTCAATGCCGTTGACCTGCCGTAGCTGGTCAATTGTCCACTGTGACCTTTTTACAAAGGCAGATGATCCTTGGAACTGCTTCACCTTTGTGATTGAAACGTGGGATGGTTTCTTGTTCGTCACTGTAGAAACAAAAGCCAAACAAGAGTAAGGCCTAATGGAGCAATAATTAAAACAACATTAAATTTCAGATTACGAGGTTTCTGTGTAACATGTAGACCCCATGCACATGATTCCCAGACAAGTTTTGATTAGGAAAATTGGACAGCTCAGGTCATCACATGTGGAATATTAGTCAAGCAAAAGTCACGAGCTTCCTTTCTGTAGGCGGCAGAAACAAAGGGATCCATTAACAATGATTACTTCGCTTCTAGAGCCAACAGCAACAGAGACCATGATAAACATTTCCTATTAGAAGACACAGCCTAACCCTGAACAGATACGCCCTGTAAACATGGCTTTTTTATTATTCATACCAATCTGTGTGCAGTAATCTTATATACAGTAAACTGCGCTATAAATTTCTGTTGTGCTCTAACAACATAATGCCATATTTTTTACTACACTACTTTGAAAAACATAAAGTCTTGGCTATATTGTTTCTGTCACCAGAAAACACAGTGTGGGACACAGCTCCGGTCTCTGCACTAATGTGATGTATTTCTTCTGCACTGCTGACTAAAACTAATTGAAAGACATAATATGAGCTCGTGGGTGTGGGGTGAGGGGCATTGCTTTTAAACAACTCGCCAAAAACAAATGAATAAAATATAATCTAAAAGTGGTTATTAGGTGCTGGGGATTTTTAATCAGTAACTTTAGTATGTACAAATTAGAGTTAATTGCCAGCTGGTTGATAGCATATTCTTTCGGGTATTTTATGTATAGTTTAGTATATATGACTAAGGCTTCACTCAAACTCCTGTCCTCAGCTTCCCCTCCAGTTATCCAAGCATTGCAGAACATATGTTTATATTGCACTTCTGTGTTTAACTGTGTGTTGGCATTTGAGAATAAGACCACCAGATTTCTGTAACGTGTCAAGGCTTTTAGTTTGGACAAAATGTTCAAACTGCGCTGCTTTTTTAACCCAGGCAGCAAACTTCTGCTTCCGCTCTCTCACATCCTCCGTTGTGTCATGTCAGAGAGATGGAAGTGTGTGGGTCACTTTCTCTGCATTCTCTCCAGTTTTTTACCCTACACTTCTTTAAAAAAAAAACCAAAAAACCAAGACTATGCTGTTCCATTTTCCCTGTTGTTGTGGTTCACTTTTTGAAAGATTTTCCACACCCGTTTCTGGAAATGGAAAATAAAGGTAGGGCTGAATGTCAGGTCAGTAAGCAAACTCCCATGAGATGAGAGATGTTTGGATTCGTTTTGTGTATCCATTTAGACAGCTGCAGTTCATACTTGAGTTGCTGGCCCAGGTGGAACAGACAGATAGAGGAAGACAAGCATTTCTTCTTCTTTCCTACAACACCTTCCTCATCTTTTCTTTGAGAATTTCAATCAGATAGAGAATCACAACCATGATTAACAGATGAACAGAATGATCACATCTGTCTTGTGTCACAGTGAAGGCTAATAGGAGCTCTTGAAAGCAGAAAATTTCATAAAGCAAACGACAGGCTGGGTGTAATGAACCAATGTGCTGAAGGGTAGAAATGCAGAACCTAAGGTCATTCACTTCCCAGCAAGAATAATTTATCTTTTACTTACACTGGTGGCAGATGATAGGCTGTAATACAGAGCCACTACTCTCCTCAAAATTATCAAGTAGAAATTGTAGAAAATGGCCTACTCGTCATGGCGCAGGAATTAATCCTTATTTTCTATTATCAAGGATTATGATGATTATTCTTTTCTGAATTAATTCAAATGTCCTTTCTAAAAAAATGTAATTTCAAATTTATATCCATCTTAAAATGGGGAAAAGTGGGTTATCCTTATCTTTTTGATTAATACGGTGCAAAAATCTTAAGCCACTCTTCATTTCTCTGTGCTCTGCTGGAAAATGGGAATGGTGCAATGATATATTGAAATGTGAAACATACACTGAAATCCAAAGATTCAATGGCAATGAATTTGAAAGTCAGCATTTGGTTTAAATGCCTTCAACGCAGCCTGAACTGTCTTAGGAAAGTGTTCTTTTAATTTCTTCAGGGAGTCTTCAAGAATAGTTCTCCGAGCCTCGTGACGGACATTCAAAGCTCCTTTTTGGATGTTGGCTACTTTTTGTTCTGTTCTCTCTCAAGATGATCCCACAATGATTCGATAATGTTGAAGTCTGGGGAGGTCAACAGGGTCAATGGGGAGGTCAATGCATTACTTAGTGTTCCACTGTGCGTTTTTCTATCCAGGTACTCACTTACTGCATTGGCAGTGTGTTTGGGCTCATTGCCATGATGAAAAATGAAGCCAAGCAGATATTCTACAGATAGCATTGCATGACAATAAAAATCTCTTCTGTGTTTCTAATTTAATCAATTTTGTTATTTCCCCATGCAGCGTCACATGCATCTTCTCAAGTCCTGGGTCAGGTCTTTGCTATATTTTTCTTATTTCTCAAGGGTATGACTTTTAAAATCTTGTTCACCTGCTGTAAATAGTTTTTCAGGCCTGCCACCTCTTCTGTTCTCTTTCATTTCTCTCTCTCTTTTTTATTTTGTTTAAGGACACAATGCACACCCTGCTGAGACACAGGTCAACAGGTCTTTCAGAATCACTTTGTTAGTGCAAACATTCTTTGTTGTTATTGGTATTTTCAATAGATTTAACCAAAGAAATGTGAACAAATGTGTTTTTGCAATAGATACAGTTCAAAATTGGTCAAGTTTTCTGTTATTATGTGAACACAACACTGGTCCATCCCCCTTGTGTTAGGTGCCTTTTTTATGCGTGAATGGTTCACAGGTCAGTGTTAAGTGGAGTTACAAGGACTGGACTAAAAATGAGCCAATGTTCAAAAGATTTTTTTTTTTTTTTTGAAAGGCCTTTAAACTTGAATTTTACAAAGAAATTAAGGTTGGCTCAAGATTGGTAATTTATTAATCTATCAAATGTTAAGCACGATCTGTCTCTTTATTTAGATGAAGATGCCAAGCTCCACAATGAAATGTGACTAGAAATCCTTTTCACAAAATGTATTCTGACTCAAAGCTGAACAGTCAGTCACAGCAGGAGAATGCAACATGCTGAAAATACACCAAATACATACACCAACAGTAGCTTTACAATATACTGAAGCAGCCACTGATGTCAAGGCTCATTGGTTGTAAATTTCTGCACCCACAGCATACTGTGTAGAACACAAACGATGATAAAAATAAAATCATGTATATGAATGGGTACGACCCCTCAAGCCTGAGCAGCTCTGACTGACACATTCTTGCATTAGCGTGCACACTGACAAATCACTGGCTTTTCTAGTCAGGCTGCTTTCAAAGTAATCACACTGACTCCAGGATTAGAATAACACAGAAAAAAAAAAAAAAATGTCACATGAGAAATGCACACCAAATGCACACTTAATCATCCCTGGTTCACATGAAGAGGGGAGAAAAATTACAGCAAATTTAATTGGGTGGCACTGTTTGCCTGAGTATCTTTTTCACTATACGATGGCATTGCAATGTGACCGAACTACTGAAATGCATCAGTGAATGTGTGAAAGAGAGCTGCTGTCTCAAGGCCATGGAGCTAAATTGTCAAGGCATCAACACAGAGATCTTAATCAAACTGCCAGACACCTTTGAGCCTCTCAAATCAATTTCATATTCAGCTGTTGACTCCCACCTTGTCTGAGTGGCTCCCTGGAATATTAAAACAATTACTGAAGGTTTGAAGAGCTGGCATTATTGAAATAGCAATCAAGGACGAAGAAAACCTATACTGAAGCTCTTGTAATAAATGAACTTTAAACTGCTCTCATAATAAATATATTCACTTAGATTTATGAATTTGTGAAGCACGTTGAACCCATTTTATCAATACTTAATATCCAGTGTCAGAGTAAGCTTGTCTTTTTGTATGGTATCATGTATCACTGTTCTGCTGATTATAAAACTAAAAAAAATGATTTTTTTAGATGAGTGGTTATGGTGCTGTTGGGTTTCTCAATTATTCTGTTCACTGAGTTTGAGTTATTGTGATAATACAAAGATGGATGAATGCATTATCCCTTCCTGAACATAAAATGAACTGATCTGTAATGTGATCCATTTCTCTCACTTTTACTGCAGTAGTCACACCCTTAAAACATTATTTGTATCACAATTGAGACCGAACAAAGAACACCTGACTAACTAATGCAAGTAAAAGCCAAGAGATGACCACAACCACTGAAAAGCTTCCAAACACATTGTTTCTATGTGGGCTGGCTATCAGAGGAAGGCCATGCTGAGGTTCCTGTCTGACTATTTTCTCATGCTCTGATGGTGACATGCTTTCACTTCCTCCAGTGGATCCCTTGTTGTGTTTGGCTATGTGCAAGTGGTGTTGCCTGAAGGGAAACCCGTACTGTACATTTCACCGACTGCAGAGATCAGAGGAAAAATTCCTGGAATCAACTTAACTTCAAGGAAACATGACCCCAGCTGTGGTTGTTAATATAGAAATGTGAGCATGAGGTGGTGTTCTGGCACAGGCTGTAAACGACATAATAGATCATGCAATGATTGTGTGCATTACTGATTGCATATTGGCATTGTTGGAAATATCGAATAGAGTACTATGAAAACAAATGTTATCCAGAAATATTTTGGTAAACTAACAACATTATAACAGGTGGAGAAAATGAAAAGAGCAGACAACAAAGTGCCACCCACATAGGCATAAAATTAAAACCTTCCTTCCCTTATAAAAACACAGCATCGTCATGTCAACACTCATACTTATCAAAAGCGTGCAGCCAAAGGCCACAAATAACGGAGAGCAGCAACAGTTTGGCCCAGCACAGCAAAGCCTTGAAAACTAAAAAATCTGAGAATAACAAAAGATCACATCAGATATGGAAGATAATGTGCACAGTTTGGGAAACGCTGTGTTGTAGTCGAGTGTTTCATCACTCACCCACCAAGAAGAATCTAAAGTGTCCATAAACAAAATTCTGTCTACTTCACTT